AAGTTGATAAGACATGACCTTCCCTGCACAAAACCATGCTGCCTATCACTAATAAGCCCATTTTCTTCCAAATGTAAATAGATCCTTTCCCTCAGTATCTTCTCCAGCAGCTTCCCCACCATTGACGTCAGGCTCACCAGTCCATAGTTACCTGGGTTATCCTTGCTCCCCTTCTTAAACAAGGGGACAACATTAGCAATTCTCCAATCCTCCGGGACCTCACCCGTGCCCAAGGATGCTGCAAAGATATCTGTTAAGGCCCCCAGCTATTTCCTCTCTCGCTTCCCTCAGCAACCTGGGATAGATCCCATCTGGACCTGAGGACTTGTCCACCCTAATACCTTTTAGAATACCCAACACTTCCCCCCCTCCTTATGTTGACTTGACATAGAGTAATCAAACATCTATCCCTAACCTCAACATCCGTCATGTCCCACTCCTCGGTGAATACCGACGCAAAGTACTCATTAAGAATCTCACTCATTTTCTCTGACTCCTCGCATAACTTCCCTTCTTTGTCCTTGAGTGGGCCAACCCTTTCTCTAGTTACCCTCTTGCTCCTTATGTATGAATAAAAGCCTTTGTGATTTTCCTTAACCCTATTTGCTAAAGATATTTCATGACCACTTTTAGCCCTCTTAATTCCTTGTTTCAGATTGATCCTACTTTCCTGATATTCTTCCAAAGCTTTGTCTGTTTTCAGTCGCCTAGACCTTATGTATGCTTCCTTTTTCCTCTTTGCTAGTCTCACAATTTCACCTGTCATCCATGGTTCCCTAATCCTGCCCTTTCTATCCCTCATTTTCACAGGGACATGTCTGTCCTGCACTCTAATCAACCTCTCTTTAAAAGCCTCCCACATATCAAATGTGGATTTACCCTCAACAGCTGCTACCAATCCACACTCCCCAGCTCCTGCCGAATTTTGCTATAGTTGGCTTTCCCCCAGTTCAGCACTCTTCCTTTAGGACCACTCTCATCTTTATCCATCAGTATACTAAAACTTACAGAATTGTGATCACTATTCCCAAAGTAATCCCCTACTGAAACTTCAACCACCTGGCCAGGCTCATTCCCCAACGCCAGGTCCAGTATGACCCCTTCCCGAGTTGAACTATTTACATACTGCTCTAGAAAACCCTCCTGGATGCTCCTTACAAATTTTGCTCTGTCTAAACCCCTAACACTAAGTGAATCCCAGTCAATGTTGGGAAAATTAAAATCTCCCATCACCACCACCCTGTTGCTCCTACATCTTTCCATAATCTGTCTACATATTTGTGCCTCTATCTCACACTCGCTGTTGGGAGGCCTGTAGTACAGCCCCAACATTGTTACCGCACCCTCCCTATTTCTGAGCTCTGCCCATATTGCCTCACTGCTTGAGTCCTCCATAGTGCCCTCCTTCAGCACAGCTGTGATATCCTCTTTGACCACTAATGCAACTCCTCCACCCCTTTTACCTCCCTCTCTATCCCACCTGAAGCATCTATATCCTGGGATATTTAGTTGCCAATCTTGCCCTTCCCTCAACCAAGTCTCAGTAATAGCAATAACATCATACTCCCAGGTACTAATCCAAGGCTTAAGTTCATCTGCCTTACCTAATACACTTTTCGCATTAAAACAAATGCACCTCAGACCACCTGTCCCTTTGCGTTCATCATCTGCTCTCTGCCTACTCTTCCCCTTAGTCACACTGACTTCATTATCTAGTTCCTTACAGGCTTTAGTTACTATCTCCTTACTGTCCACTAACCACCTCATCTGGTTTGCATCCCCCTGCCACATTAATTTAAACCCTCCACAACAGCATTAGCAAAAGCACCCCCTAGGACATTGGTTCCAGTCCTGCCCAGGTGGAGACTGTCTGATTTGTAATAGCCCCACCTCCCCCAGAACCGGTCCCAATGTCCCAAAAATCTGAATCCCTCCCTCCTGCACCATCTCTCAATCCACTCATTTATCCTGCCTATTCTTTCATTTCTACTCTGACTAGAACGTGGCACTGGTAGCAATCCTGAGATTACTACCTCTGAGGTCCTACTTTTTAACTTGGCTCCTAACTCCCTAAATTCTGCTTGTAGGATCTCATCCCGTTTTTTACCAATATCATTTGTGCCTATATGCACCACGACAGCTGGCTGTTCACCCTCCCCCTTCAGAATGTCCTGCAGTCGATCTGAGACATCCCTGACCCGTGCACCTGGGAGGCAACATACCATTCGGGAGTCTCGTTTTCGACCACAGAGCCGCCTATCTAATCCCCTTACTTATGCACCTATAGTATATGGCGGGAAGATTGCCCATTGGCTCATGATGTTTTATCATGGCGGGAATATAAAATCTCCAGCTGATTATCTCCATCATCAACTGTCTTAAAACTAGCTCTAAGCCTCACAACAAATTGGAACATTCATTGTGTTAGAACATTCACTGGACCTACACCAGAATGTGGAGCAGCACAAAAACAGAATATTAAGTTGCATGTGACTTATAAAGAAAATGAATTGCTTGTGAAGGTTTTCCCCTGTTGGTTCAGCTAGTTAAGGCAATAAGTCAGAAGGTTCCAGGTTCATGTATGTGTTGTGTTGGCTGATCTCAGAGGGGCTTGAATTGGCCTCAGCACGTTTTGTATTATGGAGGGGAAATGTGTTGCGATTCCAATGTCGAATCATTATTCGGTGGATTCCCCCCAACTGCAGTGTGTTGAGTACTTTTGTCGGGAGCACTTAGCTGGATTGCCAAGTCTTGTCAGCACTTCTACAGGATGAACTGGGGCTGAGGTGAAATGCAGAAGAGAGATTGATGCCTGAGAGGCTGTTCTCCAGCAGTACCCAACAGGGGAGCAGGAGAGAAAACTGACAGAATGAAAAAGAAAACACAAATCAAAGTGAATCCAATTGGAAATTTCTGAAGCTCTGACGACGTCGCGCAGAAAGCACAAACAGCAAAGAATGTCTACATAAATCTCTGTTAGCTACAGTATGGAGAGACAGTCTTGTCTACTTCAGAAAGTATTATTAAGACAACAAGCAGCAAACTGCAAGAAATAAATGTGCTACCTTCTATCAGCTGAGAACCTTACACTTGCCTTATATTGTGATACCTGCTGTAGGCAAATATAAAGCCAAATGTGTGAATCAAAGATTTAAAAACAATGGAAATTCAGGTAAACCTCTGCACCAGTGAGGTAGTATTTTCCAAAGATAGCTCTAAATTGGAATTGTGCATTTGTTATGGAAATGAAAACAAATCTCTGTACCCGTGAGGTTTTATTTTCCAAAAATAGCTTAAAATTGGAATCATGCATTTCTTGTGATGAGTGTGAGCTCTGGTAGTGTTGAGGAATCTTTGTGCACATTTTACAACCCAGTGAGAGCATCAAATGTGTCCAGTTCAGTCCTAATGCATGTTAACAACAGACTGAGGCTCTTGTGGTTCTGGCCAATTAAGTGTTTGCAGGTTAGGTACTGCACTTAAATGGAGTTCTGTGGAAGACTCATATTTGACTTAAAAGATTCATACTGTTTCTGTCTCCATGGAAGCTGTCAGACCTGTATGTCTAGCACTTATTGCTTTTGCTTAAATGAACTTAGGTTGAACAGTAATATTCCCTCTTCACTATCCCATCAAACCATTCCCAAGTTCCATTCACTCTGGCCTGTTCCTCACACGAAAAAATATTTAAAACAGTCCATAAAGCAAAATGTATGAGATATATATAACTTACACTGGTGTAGTAATATGATAATAAAAGGTTTAATGCAATACTGGAAAAGCACTGAGCAACAATCCAGATGTGAAATGTTTAAGAATATGAGCAGATGCTTTTGCAGATGATTTAAACTCCTTGAAATCCATGACAGACACATAGTTTTCAGCCCCATCCCAGATATTAAGTATTTCAGCTCTTTCATATGTTACATTACACAATTGCTCTGAAGTTTTCAGAGGTTCAATTTTTCTAGTAATAGCTCAAAATATTTGTAGCCTTTTGTGGCTATGTTCTAGTTTAATCATCCATTAGCACCATTATGAATTAACAGCCTTTTATACTGCTAAAACACATAGCATTGTGAATATTGTCATTACGCTGTACAAAATCTCCCCACCAATAGATAAGTACACAAGAATGCAACTATTCTGCAGTTAACCTGCCATCAGTATAACACATAGGATCAATATCCTGGACTTATCTTCATACATCAAAAGTTATTAACTTTTTTTACTCCTCACATTCACACTTGCTCCTCTTTCTACCAGTACTTTTCAATTTACTTTCACTTTTCACCTTAACCCTCTCTGGGTTGCAATACGTATTGGCTGAAAGTGAGGTGCAAGCGATTTGTTCATTTCTCAGCCCTATTCTGTGCTAAGGTAAGGAAGTCCACAACAGAATGGGGGCAGGGGAAAATAACACAACATCTAAATGCCCGCTTTGTCCCTGTCAAATAGTTCTTGGACTCAACTACTTGGCTGCTATGGTGGCAAACCTTAGATTAAGACCTTCCTATGTCTTCAGAAGTTAGCACTGACACCTTTAACCCATGCATTTGTATCAAATTGGTAGCAATATCCTATGCTATGTAATCTGTTTAGGAATTTTTTTTCTTTTGTTAGTTGTTTTTACCGAATGCATCACACTTCCACTTAACCAAAAGCTGACAGCAGATCCAAGCTCACAATCTGTTTTTGGTAATTGTTACCATGAAACAGTTATAGAAATATCCACAACTGGAACTATTTAACTAAAAGGCCAGATCAAAGGAGTGAAATTGTGTTGATTATAAATGAGAGAATCAGATCCAAATCAGACAAACCCCCAGGAACCCTGTTAGCATTTTAGAAACCTTTTTCAAATTAACTAAGCTGAGCTGTAAGCAAAATTACAAGCCCCATTAAAATTATCTTAAAACTAAGCTGTAAAGTTGTGAGAATGGGAATGGAACAAAATTTTGAACACCAATTTCTGAGAAAAATGAAAATGATAGACTTACCCTGAAACACAGGCAGAATTGTTTCAAGTTCTTTGACAGGTTAAATGCTTCTTAATTTCCTTCCTGTTGTCACTTTCTTTGTTAGCGTTTAGTTTCCTCACCAAGCTTTTCTGGTGTTATTTTGGTGTGTGTGTGTGTGTGTCAAGTTGTCCAATTTATGAAGCTTCTTTTTCTTCCTTTGCAGTGCAGTATGCAGCTCTTTTATTTTAGCTGGGCTGCATTCACAGTGCAGAGGCTTGTACTCGTGGGTGAGCAGTTTATGCAAGGAATAGGGCTTGAGGTTAAAGCCAATTGATTGCAGGGCTGTCTGCACAGGAAGGAGAGATATACATCCAGCTTGTGCTGCCTCTTCTGCAGCATCGGCCAATACCAGTAGAGCATATCAGTTGGGTGGAACGAACACACATTGAAAGAGGAGAGACTGTTGCTTGAGGGACTTTTAACTCCTCAAAGGCCACGCTATTATTTTGTATCTAACAGGTTATTTGGACTGGGCAAAAATGCAGTAATGTTATAGCATTAGGGCTAGGATGAGTTAGTATGCTAGTCCAATTTTAGAGTGATATAAAAATAAAACCTGTATTTTAAATATAGAATTTGCAGGGGTTTAATTAGCAAAATGCGTTCAAAAGGCATCAGGCACACCATCGCCTGGTGGGATGTGGTTGTTACTAGTAATTCCTAATGTAAGATGTTTCTATTTATGGCAGGGAAACAGTTGGAGGCTACTGACAGCAAGATTCGCTGCCTCTGCTTTCACATATCTCTTATATTGCTGTTTAGAGAAAGAAAGAAGAAAATGCTTGCATCCTTATGATGTCTTTCACAATCCCAAAGTGCTTTACAAACAATAAAGTCACTTTTGTATTTCGGTTGCTATTGTAGCTAATTTGCACAGTCCAGCTCTCTCAAGCAGCAAGACAATAATGACCAGATCGCCATTTCTTTTCATGATATTGCCTGAGTGTGAAACGTTAATCAGGACATTAGGAAGAATTGACTTTCTCATCTTTACTATGGTGCTCTAAGATCTTGTATATCCATCTCAGAAGGCAGAATGCTTTTACAATTCATTTGTGGGGGGATGGCATCTCCAACTGAGCTTTCCCTCAGTACTGCAGTGGAACATATGTTTCAAGGTCATGCCCAAGTCGCTGGGTGTGATTAATCCACGACAGTCTGACTCAGGTGAGAGTATTACCATGGAGTAACAACATCAGGGTTGGCTATGTCCACATTGCCAGCATCTCCAACCAGCACTTCACTGTGTGCAACACCTCTCAAGCTGCCAGATGGAAACTTCCATTGGTGACAAATGGCAAGCGTAACTGAAGGACACAGCTTTTTGAAAGGGGAGATGGGGGGAGTTCACCCACGTGTATTCTCCGTAACAACTATTTCCCCATTGCTGCTGAGGTTTGGAATTGAGATTGTGGAAGAACTTTATGTTGAATTGAACCCTCCGTGATAAACATGGCATCACTGACTAACTGCACAGTGGGGTTGGCTAGCAGTTGGCAATTGCTGCCCAGTGTAAAAGAACAACCTAACAGAGTTCAGCTAATTCTCTGCCCTCCCATGGGATAATAATTGAAGTTTCCGAGCTATCATGCTTTAAAGAAGGATGGGGAATGGTAGTTATTTTCCACACGTTTAGAATTCTTGCTTGTTGGTTCAAAGCAGACATCTGCATGTCACTCCTTTATTTATCGGTTGTTCTAAATCTTGAGCAGGGGTAGCACCTGGAGCCTGCATCATAAATGAATTATGGTGTCATTTGGTTTCTCAGAGCTAGCTGGAAAGAAAAGGCAAACATTAACCCTTTCCTTGGCATGGACTTACCTTTATGTTTGGATGTAAGGCAAAGAGGCTTTATTTTTCTGAATGAGGAATTTATTTCAAATGGGGAGAACCAAAGGGATGTCATGCAGGTCTCTTTATAGAAGCTCAAGAATCACACAACACGAGGTTATAGTCCAACAGGTTTATTTGAAGACACAAACTTTCAGAGTCTCTCTCCTTCTTCAGGTGTCAGAGAGAGAGGTGGCATCTGACACAGAATTTATAAGCAAAAGATCAAAGAACTGATCCGAATGTATTGAACAAACCTAAGATGGCTATTAAATCTTTAATCAGTTAGAAAAGATTAATATGCAAATTCCAGAATTTCTTTCACGTCACTGCCCTGAGATATCTAAAGGTTTTATCAGTTCCCTCAGTATACCAGAGGTGACATCCCAGGTCAAACAATGCATTTTAAATGTGAGGCCTTGTTTAGAATCTGGCTGTGTATCAACTTGGAGTCAGACTGGTTTTATTTCCAAAGTAGGAATTTATAAAATACCACATTGACTGTCTACAAATTGTGTACATTTTGAACAAAACAGAACGTATCCCCATACTGACCAAGTCTGTCGGCTTCTAGCTATGAATTTTTCTGGGGTGGCACGGTGCCTCAGTGGTTAGCACTGCTGCCTCACAGCGCCAGGGACCTGGGTTCAATTCCAGCCTTGGGAAACTGTGTGGAGTTTGCGCATTCTCCCTGTGTCTGCGTGGGTTTCCTCCGGGTGCTCCAATTTCCTCCCACAGTCCAAAGATGTGCAGGCTAGGTGGATTGGCCATGCTAAATTGCCCATATTATTCAGGGATGTGTAGATTAGGTGGGTAATAGGGGTATGGGTCTGGGTGGGATGCTCTGAGGGTTGGTGTGGACTTGTTGGGCCGAAGGGCCTGTTTCCACACTGTAGGGATTTTAGGAACTATGTATCTGCAAATGTGTGCGCCCATATGAGTGAGTGGGTGAATAAATAATGTGGTGGGGTCACCTGTAGTGCGACATGAACCCAAGATCCCAGTTGAGGCCATTCTCATGGGTACTGAACTTGGCTATCAGCCTCTGCTCAGTGACTCTGTGTTGTTGTGTATCCTGAAGGACGTTAGCTCGAAGATCCGAGGCCAAATGTCCTTGACCGCTGAAGTGTTTCCCCACTGGGAGAGACCATCCCTGTCTGGCGATTGTTGTGCGGTGTCCATTCATCCGTTGTCGCAGTGTCTGCATGGTTTTGCCAATGTACCATGCATCAGGGCATCCTTGTCCATGTTGATGATCTGACATGTGTTACACAGGTTACCATGACAGGGTTCTATAATGTTGTGGTCAATGTTGTCTGAAGGCTGGGTAGTTTGCTGCAAACAATGGTCTGTTTAAGGTTCAGCGGTTGTTTGAAGGCGAGAATTGGAGGCATGGGGAAGATCTTGGTGAGATGCTCCTTGTCATCGATGATGTGTTGAAGGCTGCGAAGAACATAATGTAGTCTCTCCGCTTTGAAATTTGGTGTCGCTGCCATCTTGTCCCAGTGGTGTAGCTTGGAGAAGTGGGAAGGGAAGATTCTAGAACTAGGGAAGGGAGGAGGGAAGCCTTCATTAGTCCTTCAAAAATGAGAAGTTTAAAAAGTGCATTTCAAAGTAGCTTTTGCAGTCATGCAAGAAAAGGTGGTAGCGGCTTCAAGGGCTAAATCAGAGTGGATCTTGTGGTGTTGTGCAAGCCAGGGGCTGAATTTAATGTGGCACCTGACTCCCGACAATCCCACAGCCCTCCAACCTGCTTGGATTGGCTGCCTTACCCCACGTACCATTACATTTTCGGACCAGGGAGCTGTTTAAGATAGATTTTCACCACCAACTGGGAGAAAACCCCTACCTTTGTGAGCTACCAGGTAACAAAATGGCCGGCAGATCTCTATGGTCCCAGTAGTGACACCATATGCACAGGCCACAGGTGGAACTGCATCCAGTTCCCAACTGCAAGAAGCTTTCTGGAGATAAAGATTAGTTGAGGAGATGTTGTTATTAGTGAGGCCAGGCCAGCAGACCTTTCTGAGAGGGGATGGACAGGGTGGGGGAGTAGGTAGGAAAAGGAAACTGGGTGGTGTGTGTGCGGAAGACTTTGGGCAGGGCCTTCAATAAGCCCAGGGTATTCTGCTAAGGAGGCATTGTTCCCTCCCCCCACCCAGCCCCGCCACTTTTCCTGCCATTAACTCAAAGTCAATTGTTTGGTTATTTGGAGTGGACCTCTTCCACTATTGGTAAAACACAGCAACGTTGGGTTGAGGCCCTTAAATCATTAATTAAAATGATAATTAATTACATAGTTTAAGGCCTTATTTGGCTCACAGGCAAGTGGTTGGACCTCCTGCTACCTCTCCACATGCTGGCAAAATATGATAGGGTAGGAGTTGGGCAGGTAGGTAGCAGGCATGTCAAACTTAGCAAGGTGTAGGGGGCATACGTCCTAAAGTAGGCCATTTGACCTTGGCTATTCTGGGGAAGATAATTCCGTACTTGACCTTCAGAGAGAGTAATAAAACTTTCCTCATGTTTGTCTTGAAAGTGTAAGGCAGAGGCTGTAGTCGAGCCCAATCCCGTCTTCACTTAATGTCTAAATCAAACAGAGAATGTTAGAGAAACTCAGCTGGTCTAGCAGCATCTGTAGAGAAAGAAACAGAGTTAATGTTTCAAAGCCAATAAGACTCTTCTTGAAGAAGATTCTTGTTTCAGATTTCCAGCATCCACGGAGTCTTGCTTTTATTCACTTGATGTCCACATAGATCTGCTAACTGTTGATCAGAGGTGTGAATCCTGTAGGCTTTTCCCTTCTCTTCAACTAACTGAAGCTGAATGAAACACCTCTAATCCTGCCCGGTTCAAGACCAGATAACTCAGCACCAAGAGAGCATTTCATCTGTGCTATTTATAGGCTTTAATCATGGAGAGGCTCTTTGGAGTTCTCTTCAGCCTTGCTATAGACTATGCCCAAAATTCACCCTAAGTTTCACTTCTTATTGGCTACACTAATTCTTGTCCTTGAATGTAATCCAACTGTTTTATAAACTGCGCCCTGATGGTTAACGATAACAAGCTTGTGGATTGAGACTACCCTCTCAGGAAGTTGAACGGAGGATAAATACCAGAAATGAGGAAGAGCAATAGACCGTTCAACCCCTCAAGACAATGCTGAGTGAGAATGATGTTTGAGCAGAGAATGCGGGAGGTGCATTCTACTAAGTTCAGAATATAGCTGAGTCCATGTGCTTCTAAAACATAAAAATGGACCCTTGCCCTGATTCAATTCTAGATTAATGGGCCTTTACTCTCCTTCCATGGAGAGTGGAACCATCTTTACATCATCCATTGAGCTTGCTTCAATAACACAGGTGTTAAATTTCGAGTATGACAGCTGAGGATTTCTGCTGACACAGCTGCCCCACCATGTCCCAGTGCATGCAGGGCAGCATTGATTGGTTTTATATCTCAC